ATAATGGGCACACCAGGTGTGCAGACCCAGGAGATCAGCAGTGAGATCTCACCAATAAAGTAATATAAGTTTTTGAGGAAACGGACCCTTTAAAAATGTAAAACAACTCAGATGTTCTTTAAAGTAATTTGCCACAACCAGATTAGTGCTTTATAATTGAAAACAAAATGTAATAAATAAGAGTCAAAGCAAACTTACATTGCAACTTTCATCGTTATCTGGCCGGTGAGGAATGATAAAAGACATAACGGATAATCTGCCATCGCAGTTGTCAGCTGGCTGGTTAAAATCTAAGCAGCTGGTGATTATACAGAAGTAATGTGTTGGGACTGATATTGTTCCATCTACAAAACTGGACAGAAAGAAAAAGAACGTTAATACAGGCTACTTCCCATCAGTCCAAGCAATGAAGAGTACCACTCCCTCCCCGGCACAACACTCCATCCCCGGCACAACACTCCATCCCCGGCACAACACTCCCTCCCCGGCACAACACTCCCTCCCCGGCACAACACTCCCTCCCCGGCACAACACTCCATCCACGGCACAACACTCCATCCACGGCACAACACTCCATCCCCGGCACAACACTCCATCCCCGGCACAACACTCCATCCCCAGCTATATACTACTTTACAGACTATACTACTTTATCTAAAATGAATCTTTAATCTTTATGTTAGAGCCTTCAATTCCCCCTGGAATTCTTGCAATTGACAACTAACAAACCGCCCACAGAGAGCCCTTTTCCTTTTCAAAAAAAAACAACTGAACGTTTAACTTAAATCCGCTAGATACATTCCAGGTGAATTGAAATAAAAGGTGTATAGTTTATTTTCTTAGAAAAGCAGTCACATCCTGAGAAGAAATGCCTGTACCCTGCCACCATACTGTAGAAAAGGACTATTGCTCTGTGTGGAAGCAGTGGTGTCAATTGCCCCACATGCTTCCCTGCCGAGTCAGAACTAGAGCCCTCCAATTAGCAAGGACTGCCTTAACACGATGCATGTCAACACATCTCAACGGACTGGAACAGGATGAATGGCTAAGACTTTGTGTGCCTTTTGATCTGATGCATCTGAAATGGCTAAACTGAAAGTCCAATTGGGTTTGAAACAAAGAAAAGCAAAAGCAGCCAGCTAATAAACTTTGTTCATGAAGCAATTACTGAGCACTTACGTTTTAATTTTGTCAGAGGTGTCATATAAGCCATCGTAGTCATAGTCAAATATCGGGCCAGTAATGACGTTGACTCCATTCCTTTCAGATGCATATCGTTTCATCAGGACCCTCTGCAAATAGTTCCAGATCTCTAATAAAAGCAAAACATACATTTCATGAAATAAACCTGGCACAGAAAGGGCCTTCCTGAAAAAGAAGGTATTTGCATGTCTCATTCTATCCCATATCCCAAAATTAGAGATGGCCAAAAAGAAAAGAAAACTCTGGCAGAGGTTTTATCCGTTCCCTACTTTATCTTTAACAGAAAGGAGTATTTTCTTCTGAAATGCATTTGGATTTATTCTCTATAGTAAATTTAAATGTAAACGATACTTAATGCGTTCTTTAGAAATAAAAAAGATACCGTTGTACTGAATGTGGTCACATAGAATTAAACTAAATCAAATGCCAGCATTAAACACCCAGCTCAATGACCCCCATAATATGTTGTGGCAGATTATTACCCAGGAGAACTTTCATATGGAAAATAGTTGTGTGAGAAATATTCAGCAGTACGTAGAATGCAGAGCAGCAAAGTTCTATGACAAATTCTGTTTGCTACAGTTTTTCACACTATAGTTTATTTATCAAAACTACATAAATTAGCCCATAAAAGGATTAATCTGAACTCAAAGCAAGCAGCCACATACACAGATGAAATACGTACATGAAATTTCTGTCCACCCAGTCCTAAGATTTAAAGGAGAATTATAGGGACAGTGGAATACACTCATCTCCATAATGAGAGCTGACATGTGACACTGAAGCTGTCACAGGTCGGCTCTATTGATCGAAAACTGAGCGATCACATACCGCTGATCCGTTCTTCTCCCTGCAGAGAGCAGTGACTGTTAGTCACCGCTCCCAATGGTCCAAGCTCACTCCCAGGATGGACTACAATCTCAATACAAATTAGTGAACTAAACATGATATTGTAGTCCATCACAGGAGCAAACTTTTGTTCCCCATGGTCCTTTTGTTCCCCAGTGTCAGCACCAATTCAGAGATGATTTGAGGATCTACAGCCGAGTGATACACAAGGTACAGGTAACTCCTGAGTTTAGTGTCACTTTAATGAAGAAAGAGTTGCATTAATTTTGTGTCTTTTATATCTGCCTGGAGTTCAGCTTTAGGTGAAACCCCAGCAAAAATATTTCTTAGCCAGTCTGTTTTTTTGTTATTGTCTGGGTCCCGTTTGGGAAAATTCCTCTCTCTTCCTGTCCTTTATAAGCACCTGGAAGACTACGAGAGGAAGCATGGGGTAATATTTCCAAAAGGTGCACAGAAAGCAATAAATCCCGGCAGTCTATCCTAAATTCAGAATGAAAACTTTTGCCTGGAGTTTTAGTAGTGGATTATTAATGCACTTACTTTTAAATGCTGGATATATGGGAACAACATTTGTAATGAGGAATGCATCATATTTGGCATCAGCAGAAGAACTCAACTCTAAAAATACAAAATAAAAACTGTAAGCATTAAAAGATAATTACAAAAAATTTGCACAGAGAAAAAGATATTGTGATATAAAATGCAAAAAAAAATAAATGAAATGCACAACGTCTTAACAACAGATACAATATATAAAACAACCATTTCCCATAAAGCCCAGCTCCAGCAAAAACATTTTTTTTAGCTTTGAATAAAGCGGGAAGATGCAGACACAGCTGTTTGCTATTTTACTAGAGTGGTTAAAACCTCTTTCAGGTTTTTATTGTTGTCTCTGTCTGTGCTGCTGACACCCCTCCCTTCCATTTTGTTATCCTGGTGTAACAGGGACAGAGAGGGCACATCACTCAGTGAGATCACAGACAGCCATAAAAACTGACCGAAGATCAGAGGAAGCTAAGTTGCTGAGAGAATTACTTTGAAGACTTCAGTGCTTCTGCTGTGAACTTTGATGATGAATCGCTCACAGTACCTGCTGCTACAGAGTTGTAAAGTGGCCCTTCACAAGATCTTTGCTTTGCTAAGACCCTGGTGGCCCCACAGCATCATTAGGTGGTCTGGTGCTCCTGCCTGGGTCCTAGCAATCAATGACCTGTGTGGCTCAGCCACCACTCAAACAATGATGCAGGCCACACAGAGGCTGGGTAGGTGGCCAAATAGTTTACATGTTCTGTGAACTCCGAACAGCTTGTGTTTGGGTGGACCGGAGCCGGAAGCTCATCCTTAGTTAAGAATATGAAAATGCTTGTATGCTAAAAGTCTGGCCATAGGTTTAAGAATATTTTGGATGGTTCAAATGTGAACATGTACTCCATATTTACCTTACCAGTAAAACTACTGCCTACTTGCTGATATCACAATACCCCCTATCTTAAGCTTCTTCTGTGCCCCTCTCTGATCTGGGGTCGCTTTTTAACTGGATCTAAACTTTCCCTAACTTCATGGCCAAATGTTTACCACTGGATTTCACTTTTGAAAAGCTTATCTCAGAATATAGAGAAAATTAGCAAAAGACACTGGGCAGGGCTGTCCACAGAAAAAGCTGTGTGTTGTCAGCCTACAACAGGAATTAGAAGAGGAGTGCATTTCTGGCAGATTGACCGCTGTTTTCCGTACTTGCAAGGAATAAAACATGAGTAAACTTGCATGTAAAAGTTTGTTTCTGCCTTAACATACACTTTAAATAATGCTCCAGGGAGCAAAAGTAAAACAATGGCCTATAGTAGCCAATCAGTTCTTGTGAAAGAATCCGATTGGTCTAGATGGTTATTGTATAGCTTTTCCTTCAGTTTTCTTGGTTAAGTTTTGAGCACTGACCGCAAGCTTGAGCATGCTAGCTGATTCCAGTGAAATAATTGTATCACAAGTCACCCCTATGATGAAATTTTTATTTGTGCAAGCACAACATTTTACATTTCTTAATCAGGCTGTGTAGCCTTTCACACAGAACTTCAGATAAAACTCAAGGCTGTCCAAGTTCTAACAGAGCAACACTGACACGAACAATTATCATGCCGTGGTTTTTTCCCCCTTGTGCAAGCCACCAGTAACAAGTTAAAAACACAGAGCTCGAGAGATGCCGAGATAAGACTCACGTGGTGGGAAGAGGAATCCATAGGACATCTGCTTGTCAGCTTTGTAAGCAGAACAGCTTTGGCTGTTGCCAGGAGAAATGCGTGGGTCGAGTCTTACACAATTCGAGAGATAGTCGGGGATGCCAGATACTTCAGCCTGAAAGAAATCATATGATATCATGGATGTCTAATATTAGCATGAGTTCATATCTGGAGCAAGGTACAGAGATGTAAAGACTTAAACCTGCATTGTAAAAAGATGGTTGAAGACTTAAAGCTTGCTTCTGATTGGTTGCTGAGGGTTGTGGTGGAGAGGTTTTCAGTCATATGTGTATCATTAAGTTACTTTAAAGTGAGCTTGACCCAGCCTATAATGTTTTAAAGCCAAACTCCAGGCAAACCTCTTAATAGATTGCAAAAACGGGGGAAAAAGGAGTAACGCTAAGAAAAGAAAAAATATATATAAATATAATTATGGACAGAGCTCCAGGGTTTCAGAAAAATGTATTCAAACAGCGCAAACCCCCTAGCATAGAAATCCCATAGTAGGAGCCCTCCAATAATTAGATATTCAAGTATAATATAAAGTGCATCCAAACATATTTATTTAAACATTGCAACACATAAAGATAAATCACCTCATTACATTTAAAACTTATTTAAAAATCGCATAGCTTCCCTGAAGTGACTCAATGTGGGACAGAAATAAACAGGGTTGAAATACCCGCAGGGCAGAGCAGCAGTCATTGATATGAACGGATACACCGTTATGAGGTGGTGGATACTAATGTATCAGCATATGATGATAGGATTACTCACTTGTTCCTCACTTGTGGCCACAAGGAAAAGAGTCCGTACTTCTATGATAGATATTCCAGTGGTATTCTTAGTAAAGGTTTTTTATTCAAAAAACATTTGTAATCCTGCTGATCGCTTAAATGTTTCCACCACTTGCACCAACTTCCATTGAGTTTGATCCCGACCTGTTTCACTTCACATCTACTGTGGACAGGTGGCCCGACAATTCCCCTGCAAGTGCAGCCGCACCTTGGAACGGGGGTGAACGATGTTCCACGGGCAAGGTATCCAGTGATATGCTTGATCAGGGATTAGAAATTGGTGATCTCCGCTGTCGCTGTGTTGCTTGAGCGGGCCTCGCTCAATACAATCGGTATAGCAGAGGCTCTCCTGCTCGATCACTGCGATAACATACAAGTGGTAAGTCCTGGGTCCTCAGGGAAGCTAGTCACACGCTGAACCCTTGACGTGTTTCCCCCCAACGAACGGGGCTTCCTCAGAAGAGGGAAGCTATGCGATTTTTAAATAAGTTTTAAATGTAATGAGGTGATTTATCTTGATGTGTTGCAATGTTTAAATAAATATGTTTGGATGCACTTTATATTATACCTGAATATCTATTTATTGGAGGGCTCCTACTATGGGATTTCTATGCTAGGGGGTTTGCGCTGTTTGTATACAAACCTTTAAATACACAGATGAAATACATGTAAAGGAGTGGTTTTACCTGCCAACGCATTTGTATTTCTGTGCATCCATTCCTTAGCTATACACAGCCCTGCTTCAAACCACAGCAAGGTGGATGACAGCATTTACATTTAAGGAATACAGTGGTGTCCTCTATTTCTACCCCCCGCCTTGTGACTGGACTGTGCAAGTGCAGCATACTGATCTGTGGTCATCCCCCTGCTTACCCTATCTTGTCATTTGCATGCAGCACACCTGGTTAGCTTCTAGTCTTCACATTGTTCCCTGTGCCCTTGTGGATCCCCCTTAGACACTAAGACGAAGATGTACATTGGGGCCTTATCTGTACAAGTCTAGGTTAAAGTGGAACTAAACCTATTGATTTAATGGCTTCCCAAAACTGTTGCATTGAAGGCATGCCTCTGGTGATAAACACACTAGCAACCATGACAGTTATGTCAGCTCTCAACCAAACTTTCAAGCACTTAAACGGCTGGCATCCTTGTTGATCACATGTACAACTGCAGTTTCAAAGAGATGTTCAAATTGCACCTTCCTTGGGTGTAAAGGATAGGCAGGTTCAGTTCCGCTATAAGCCCTGCCTCTTGTCATTCAACTTTCCAATGCCAGAGACTCCACTGCCATTTAAAGCTCTAGCATTTCACAGTTGAGTCACAAGGGGACAGGCTTAGCACCAGCAGAGGAGGACCCCCAAAAAAGACATAAAAAGACATCTTCTTCTTAGTATTGACTGCTCTAAAATTCTGAAGAGCATCAATGTTCTTCACAAATAATAATAATAATATTATTATGATGATTATTATTCTTATTAAAGAGAGGGTATCCATAACTCAAAAAACTAATAGGAGAACTGTGGAATAGCATATTATGACCCTCTGAACTATACAGAAATTTGAAGAGGTGGGGATTGGCTACATAAAAGAAAGGGAACATTACAGAGGTGAATATTAGCTAGATGAAGCTAGATTAGCTAGATGAAGGAAGAGAACCTTAAAGATGTACGGATTAGCTAGATCGAGGAAGAGAATCTTTAAGAGGTGGGGATTAGCTAGATGGAAGACAGGAACCTTGAAGAGTTGGGGATAAGCTAGATGGCGGAATGGAAACTTGAAGAGGTGGGAATTAGCTAGATGGAGGAAGTTAACTTTGAAGTTGCAGTGATTGCCTAGACAGAGAAAGGGAACCTTGAAGAAGTGGGAATTCGCTAGATGGAAAATGGAGACCTTGAAAAAGGTGAGGATTTGCTAGATGGATTATGGGAACATTGAAGAGGTTAGGGTTAGCTAGATGGAATAAGGAAAACACATAAAAGGCTCATCAACCTAAAAGAGCAGGGCTCTCAGAGAATGCAATCTAAAAGAGCAGTGCTCTCAGAGAATTCAAGATGTGGATAACAGGTCAGATTCATTAAAGTGTTATTTTTCCATATCCTGTTATGTTTACAGGACAGGAAGTGAATGAAAACTTCTCCAGGAGAGCACACAGGGAAACAAAACCATGGTTTTAACCATTCCTGACTAAAGCCAAAAACAAAATTCGACCGTATATCTACTTTAAATATCTGTTCTGGGTGAACTAACGATGTAACCTTTAAGAGAACCCGCATAAGGGAGTATGTGTCTGAGAACGCAGCTTCGTTCACTGATGAACTTTGCAAGAGATACACTGATGCCACCATACTAACTAGATACAGATCACATAAGATAAGGCTAGCTCCTTTAAAATAGGTCTTGACGTGTCCTTGGAATTCACTGAACATGACTTAGCCCGGTTGGCCAATGCTGTGTTCTACAAGCAGCATGACTGGCACTTCCTGCTGGCACTGGCTGTGACAGGCAGCGAGAGGGAGGGATGGCACTGGGAAAGTTCCTGAACTTGGCAGCCTGTATTGCTGGAGCAGAATTATGAATTGCTTAAAGATTAACTCTGGACAAACAGCTAAATAAACAATTAAAATACATATAATGAGAGCAATTTTTCTTGCCAAAAAATGTGTTATTTCTCCAAAAGCAGCCATGAGCTTGTTTTTATTCCCTTCTCATGACTTTTTAGTAAAGGTGATCTAGGTAGCCGGTGGAAGGGGATGGAAAATCATTTGTTCCTCTCTTTACTCTGCACAGAATGGACCAGGAAGGTCTCAGCTCTGATGCAACTACCATCATTTTATTCTACAGGTCCTCAGCTTTCAGAAGATTTATCGGCCCAGATAAACTAAGATTGATAGTTCTTAACGCACATGATCTTACTTTGGTGCATCACATGTCAAACTATTATACAAACTATTATACAGACAACTATTATTAGACAATAGTTCATTTTGCCCATTAATGTTTGTAGGTCTTTTATCCACTATTTTATCCATTATTTATTGTTGTTTAGTTTTTGGTGGATGATAAATAGTTATATGCCAAAAAAATGTATATATATATATATATATA